GGTTTCTCCTCTAGTGTGAAATAATCTTACATATAATGTTAAAACAGGTGTTACTTTTGTTTAGAGGCAATATTTATTACTCTGATAACACAAAATGTATTCATATTTTATCAACGGGATTCTTGTAATTATTAATTTGTCTAAATGTTGATGAAGAGATTCAGTTACATGTTGATACTCAAATAAAAAACCGCACTTTGGTACTTAGTTAATTAATCGGAACCAATTGTATTAACATATTAGTTTACATATTTTAGGATTGCAAGAATGTACAGCGTAAGTCTTTCACTTGAATTTCTTATTTGCTTACCTGAGTGAGAAATGGAGCTACATTAGGCAGATCATAATGTTTCCAATGTGGCGAAAAACTATTCTCTGTCCATGTAAATCGTAACAACCATTATACCGCACTGTTATTAAAATGTTAACGAAAGGTATTACCACACAAATTATAAATGCAGTATTAAAAACTAATTTTTTTATGATAACAATTTATTATCTCTGTGCATTTACTTGTACCGCACAAAGCATAGATGTAAACAACTCAACTTGTTTTGTAAACACACGAGCTATCGTTCTTATCAACTATACTGACTTTTTATGTATTTCCTCACATTAGATTGATAAAAAACCACGCAAAAACACTTAAGCTATTTGTTCCAATCTAAATTAATATAAATACAAACCATATTTCCTGGGATTGAAACTAAATTACTTAGTTAAAGGTCAAAGCCTTATTAACTATCCGGCGGTTTACTTTAACCTAAGGAACTCACTGAATAGTTAATAAAGCGTTTACTAAGTAATTTAGGTTCAATACTAGGAATTACCTGGTTGGCAATTGCCCAATACAATATTGAAGAGGAATTCTCGACGGGGGAAATGAGATTGTATAACTATACAAAATGCAAGACGATGTAGAAAGATCCTTTTGCCATTTGTTTATACAAGCTCCAAATGGAATGCCACTCAAAATGTCCAAAGTGATACATAAAGTGAAACACGACAACTCTAGGGATATGGGCTGAGTTCCAAGCCTTACAAACTCCAGACCTTTAGATTGTTACTCTAGATAATCGAATAACCCAGGACTTTAATTCCCTTATCTCTGCATATGGGGAATCTTAGTATTTCGTTTTAAACCAAGTTTTAACTTCCCTTGGCTTTAGCTTAAGTGGGTTTATAACATTCCACACATTTCATGTTTCTTAAGTTTTGAACATTTCAGAACTAGATTGTGTGGATATGTATTTGAAATAAAAAGATTACATGCATAACCACAGACAAATTTTGATATAGCTTTAAGAAACTAAAATTAAAAGTAAAACATAACAAAACTCAAAACCTTTTCATTTTACGAAATCTTTTACACAATTAATCACACAGTATATTAAAAAAATTTTATAAACAGTCGTTGCTTGGAGTAATTGATTAATTAATCGTTACAACCAATTCATTTACATTGTAATACTCTTTTAATACTAATTTACTTTTCAAATTCCATGGTTGTAGGTGTTATATAAACTGGAAAAACTTTGAATAAAGATTACAAAATCATTATGAAAAGTGTCAGTAAATTTATTAGTTTTCTGTCGTGAAGACATAAATTACCTCGCTTCGTTTGGACTAATGTTTTCATGGAATAAATGATTAACATAATGCAACGTACCAGCATATTTATTCTATAGCTTTACCTACAGAATGAATATGTTTTGTTTATTCGCAAGTGGCTTTGCTTTTTTCACTTAATTTATCGATTGGTAACAAAATACAAACACTCACCTGTATGTGCGAGTATAAGAATGTAAGTTGTATTTATAAATAGTTTACTAAAATTAAAACAACAAAAACTGTGTTTACGATGTCCATGTTACAGTACAAAATTAACCTAACTCTACATATCTTTTAAATCAAAAAGTTTACATAAACTATGTAAGAAAAAATTAAAATGCCAATACAGAGTGGTTCAGGTTAAGAGCTGTTAACAAAATCTAGTTATAGATTGCTAAATCATTATGTACCACCTAAAATAAAACAAAATATTTTCTTGGTGCAATAAAATAATTGTGTAATTTTATTACGATTATTCGATTTACTAAATGTATTATCTGTTTTGTAGATCGATTGTATGGTTTAAGCTGTTGATTCTTTAAACATGTAAGATTCAATCCACGTTCAGAATGTCAGCCATGTGTGCCAAATCGATTTTCAATGTTATGGAAATAAGCCAAGTTACGAAATTGACGGATGTAAACGCTGACTGTTACCACAATTTCAACCCTTGAATTCTAAAGATTGGTAACCTTTTAAGGTCATTCACTATTACCTTTTACTTTTCTTCCTTTGTACAACAGCTAAGCATTTTTAATACGAATATATAATGGTTAGTATTTAAAGTTTAATAATTATTATGACGTCTTTATACGCACATTTAAGTTCCCTTTTGGTGAAAGTTTTATTTAAATAATATTTTAAATATGTTGAAATAACAATTTGAATGATATCATAACCATTTATGTATATGATAATATATACTTTACCAAACAAGTCAAAAAACCTTACTAATAATATTATAAATGTGAAAGTGTGTGTGTTTGTTTGTTTGTTTGTTTGTTGGTGTGTTTGAAGTTCAATCACGCATAAACCCCTGGACGGATTGGGCTGAAATTTTGCATGATGATAGCTTACATTCCCGATTAACATATAGGCATATTCTTATCTCAAAAATCCTTTCGGGCTCCGCCCCAGTGGCTCTGTAATTCCCCATGTTAACCTTATGAGTATTCATATTTAAAGGGAATTAAAGAATTTAGTCAGCTGTTTCAACTAAAAAAGTTGGTACTATGATATGGAAAAGCATTAAAAGTCATAAGATTTACCAACATGGTGCAGCACTATATTTTTTTGCATTTATGAAAACAGCTAATTTGAACTAAGCAGCAACAAAAAACTGTGATTCGCAATGAGAACTGTCAAAGTAGGATTGTTTACAGTTATGTTTATGTTTTTCATTTTATGAATAATCTGTGATATTTTGCGAATTGTTGATCATTTATTTTACTCTATTGTTTAGGTGAAGTGGTAGAACATTATGGCTATGGTAGATGTGTAATACCATTGACTAACCAACACAAGGGGGAGTATGTTTTATCTATGGTAATACTATAAAATACTGTAAATAAAAAAAAAATTATCAAACTGTGTCCTCCCTTATTGCAAACGCAAAGCTTGAGTATAACTGCAATAAGCATTTTATACTTATATTCCAACCCCGTACGAAGGACGGGTACTCTGCTAGTAAACAAATAAATTGAGTAGTTTTTGGGTAAGGAGAGGCGTTTGAAATGTTTAGAGAGTGCTTCGTCTTTAGATTTGGACAGGGTATAAAATTTGGACTAATGCTTGGATTTTTATGAATTTTTAAAACTTACAATATATCGTTAATGTTGTGGACAGGGGAATCCGAATATTCTGACAAGTACCATTCATATGTCAAATGAAATAATTGCATTTTGGAGCTTGAGCAAACATTCTGTCACAAATTGGCCCCACGTGAACGACTTGACTCTTCTAAATCGATTGCCTTTGTAACATATTTTACGTACCACCTTATTGTAAATGTAAAGAATATAAGTATAGTTAACTCCAAAAAATTGTAAAAGATGTATTCTTAACATATTTGTATATTGGGGAGCGAGCTGGTGTAGTGGTTAGAGCGCGGGACTTCGGTCCGTGAGGTCCCGGGTTCAAATCCCGCCAAATCACCAATGGATTTTATCTAAGTGATAATACCGCAACCCCTAGGTAAGTAATGTAAAGTAATGTGAAAAACAATCCCGGGCTCGTGCCTAGTGTCCTAGGAAAAAAACATATTTGTATATAACTTCTACAATAAAACATATTTTAACATATTTAAAACATATTTTTGTCCACAGAGTTTTTTGTATTTGTTTTTCCTACAAAATGTGAACATTCCATCAAAGTGTCACGCAACACGCAATGATTCGGTTAATTCCGGTTAAATGTTATTATGCAGACTAAGACAGTCACCTGACACATTTCCTAAATACAAGCCGCAAAGTGGTTCCAGCTGAGAAAACCCACGGCTGCTGAATTTCAATGAATATGTTTCACATCCTCACATTTGTCAACCCTACGAGCGGACGTGCTTTCGGATTTATTCTTTGAAATATCTCGCGTACTTCAAATTGACTTGCCTTGACTTGCTAATGTGCTTGGACATAATAGAGTATTCTTTTTTCTTTACTACGAATAATTATAATGTTGGATCATTTGGATTATAGTTAGTAATGCTATTCTTAGTATTCAAGTGGTTTTTTGTAACTTTTATTGTAATTTATTAAAATAATCGTTAAATTAATATTGTTGTTTTTAACAACAAACAATAAATTATAAATATTTAATTTAGGCAAGTATCTATATTGAAAGTTACTAGAGAGCAAGTTGGTCTAGTAATACTTTACACGAGATTTTCAATTCAGTATCAACACTATTTACAACACCATTTTATTATTGTAGTATATTAGTGGTAAAGGTGAAACAGATTTAGTTTTGATGGTTGATACAGTTATGGTATGGTGCAAGATGTGATACTGTAAATAGCGTAAATACCAATTTTACATGCATCTCAACAAAATAACGAGAACCTAGTAATGTCACTGGCCACTTAAGCCTACGAAAAAAAAATACTAACACATATATTGTATGTGATTATGCCGTCACTCTCTAGACCTAACACAAATAAATGTGTACAAACGGTTCCAGGGTAGAACCTTATGGATGTAAAGTTGGGACGGTAAGAAACAAATTGGAAAACCGCTGACAATTTAAGTTTATCGAGTCAATTAGGTGTTGAGAAATAAATAACTTTGACTTTCACAACCTTCAACGTACTGGCCTGGTTTTCCATTGTCAAGCTGCTTTTCAGTTATCTTGTGTAAACTTGCTCTTTCTCTCTTACTTTTTTCCTCATTCTCAGTTGACAGTGATAACAAACACTATCATGTTACCTGTGTCGAAGAGTTTCATCACATTATTACTGGTGAGTTTATTGTTACAATATTTACCGCTTTAACATTGCTTTTAGTGCTTTTCAAAGTACTGTAAAATGAAAATTAAGTACACTGTTAATAGTTAATAAGCAGGTTAAGAAATTTTTTCACATACGATTGTATAGTTTTTTTATGTCAACACTTGATGTATTATAAAGTTGCCCTCCCCGCAGGGAGTCATGTATCCTAATTAATACATGGTTTGACCCTATGACCTGTATCCATTAGTTTTTTCCCCTAAACGTTACGATAGCATATATTTATCTTTCATCGTTTCATTTTTTGACAACTTACATTAAATATGGTTTTAATACTTTATATTCATTATTTTTAATTTATTTTTTCCCATTTCTAAAATATATCATACTCCTTATGCAGCTTAAACATATAACATCCGCTCACTAACACCTAAAACTTCACAATGAGTAATAAGTTAATCTCATCAAAAGTACCTTCAATACCTTAGGAAGATCAAAAGTAAGTGTTTATTAGTATGTTTTTATGATATTATAACTTGTTTCAGAGGAAATATGTTATCTATTCTGGTTAAGAGTTCGATTTTCTGATTGTATTTTCTGAGGTTATATTTTGTTTTGTTTTCCCTTCAGACCTTCACTTTAATTTCTCCCATTACCAATATCTAGAGCCTGGGTATTCTCAGTTTCCTATAAGTTAAACTATCCATATCAAAACAGGTATGTCTTACACAGTATGGTGAATTTACATGTAGGTATTTGAGAACCCCCAAACTTAGATTATGCATAAACATTCTTGCAATGTTATTATAAAACAATGTTTTTGGGATGAGTTATTCAAATTGCTGGGAAAATGGGTTTCTTACTGTAAATGATTTGATAGGTATAATCAACCATAATTATTGGCGTAGGTCTTCAGTGTGTTCGTCCCTTCACTATTAGCAGACGACTCTTCCTCTCAAGACGACTCCTCTTCTCAAGACGACCAGGGTGGTCTTAACGTCCTCGAGATCTTGACCAACGTCCTCTTTCTGCTTCCCAAGATCTTGACATCATTTATGAAGCCAATACTTGATATCGTCTCTCTAAATGTGTTTTAAAATACAACGTAAGTTTTAAATTTAGGTTTTATTTGTTGCCAATGTACATTTGGTTAATTATTAAATTGTTTATAATTATCGTGTAACAAATGTTTATCATTTATATAATACCATTAAAAATAATTTGAAAATATATTTTGTATAACTAACTTTAAAATGTTACTTTCCATAAAAAATATAACTTTCTGTAACTATCAGTCATGGCCATTGTTTTTTATAGTTCTTTTGTTAAATCTTAATTTCTTACTATCTATAATCGCTTACAAAATCCCTTGAACTAGAACAAAAGATAATCAAACATTCTGATCTATGAACTTTGTGAGTGATCAATAAGTGGTTACGGCTTTTAACAATCCTTAGGTTTTTGGCGTTGACCCTAGTTTACGTAAAAAAAAATACCACAAGACTGATAAAGCACGATGATATTTGCATATTGATATTTCCATAGTGAAATAGTTGTGTTTGAATGTTGATATCGAGTAATTACCTAAGAAAGTCAAGGGTTAACTAAAGGTTTTCTCATGTGGTTGGTCATCTTGTAAATATAATAATTAGGTGTTCCCTATGGCTATGTAATAGCATTGCGAATCAAGATACCCAAACCAGAGGGTTTCATGATAACGGAGATGCACATAATTTCCAATATGATGTCATTTATGACTAGTGATAACCGTTATTATATAGTAAGAATTGTTTGACTATTTTAGACAAGTAGTTTTTTTCTAATACAATATGATGGTAACATAAGTTTTTCCTGTTTTAAATTTTTTATGAAAAGCAATCGCAATAATCTACATAAGCTACATAATTTTTACGAGGATTAAACCTTATGATTTTTCAAAACATTAGCTGTAGCAAAATATGTAGTTTGATTTTAAAATAAACCACGAAACACAATAAACAAAGTAACTGCATTTAACCACGTATTCTGCAAAAGGTAGCGTGTTTAACATGTACAATAAAGGTTAAAGTCAACTTGTATCTCAATTCAAGAGTCTAATAGTGCTAATTTACAATGAACGTTGAGTCGCGATTTTACAATATACTCAATAGAGTCATAATCACACAGATATAAATCCAATAAGCAAAGTAAATGCAATTATATCGTAAAATGATCTTTCACAATTTGAAATAATTGAACAGGTAACAATCATTACGCAAACTTCAATATTTATTCCAATTGGGATCTGTTAATTCTAGAGATAGTTATGGTAATTCTTACCTTTTTCATTAATATTAAAATATAATTCAACGTAAAATGTCTGTTACGCTAATCTATTTTGTTTATGATGTGCCAATGACTTTTACGACTCGTGATAATCTAGGTTTAATGTGGTAAGTAAGGAAAAGTAGACAAATGTCTCTTATGGGACGAAAAGAACTTTGTAGATTAAACCACGAAGCTGCAATGCAATATCCATAATGTGGAAGCAGCTAGTACAAACTTTAGCTGTTAAGTCAAGGTGGGTTGTTATTTCTATCACAGTACTTTATTGTTACAGATGTTTTTGAACTCTCTATGGAAATTAGCTTAATAAACTAGTGCCATAGTATACTGTGCATCAGATTTATGGAAAATATACAGATATGTATGATTAAAATACTACGACTACATCCTGAGTAATATTTACGGTATTTTTTTCCTACCAAATTTTTCTTGATGAATAATATTTTGTCCACAGCTACCTACATTAGGTAAAAAAGATATTTTACTTGCATTCACCGATTTACACGGAAATATTTTGATACTTTCTCCGTCGATGTAATTTTCTCAATTATTTAGTTTTATGTATTTTTTTTACATAAGCATTTAAACACGATGTGTCTTCTTATAGGAGAAAATCAAATCAGTAAACATGTCATTAACTAGCTTGGTACATATCGCCTGCATTTGCAATAAAACTCAGTAATGATCTGTTTCGGCCAAGCCGGACACAGGTTATTAGGGACTCCCACCGGCTATGCCACATATTCGTGACCTTAATATGGATTGCACGCACACATAAGGTAGCTGAATCCGCAATTAATTGTAGAAGGGCCTTAAAGCTAAACTTGTTAGTGCAACACGTTAGACAACTCAACAACAGTCGCCGTCGGCCGACTGGGACGAGTAGACTACTAAAACTAATAAATACCGATTGAAATACTAGCACTTTCAACTAAAGTTCGATCAACAACTCAAGCGTCAGTTGGTTAACACAATACATATCTGTAGTAGTACAGCCACAGTGTCGTATCCAGTGACAAGCTACACTAGTTACATAAAAAAGTGTCTGATATGAGTCGACCGGAGAATGTCAAAAATATTAAATGTTTATTAAAAACATAAAATTTCATGTTGATCAAGTGCTCAGTCAAATAATATATTATGTACCCGTTATCTAAACATTTATATGAAATTTTAAGATAACTGTAAGCTACACACACCTCTCAATTGCATACTTGAATTCAAGGTATTGGTGAGAAACCTTCCATAAAATATTAATTTATTCAAACAATTTACAATAGCTACAGGTATATAACCCAAACCCGCTATAATGACAAATAGAGCAATATAAAACAAAAAAGTAAATAGAGAACAATACAAGGTTTGCAACATTCATTTGCATTGAAGTGATTGGTTGTGTGACAAATTTTATTTCATCCAATGAAAAAGTAACCGTGAATATTTTTAAAAGCAATACACTTTTTATGATCATCCAAAACAGAACTAAAATCATTTTAATTCGATGAAGTATTTGTAAAATATATAGGTTTCAAAATCAAAGATAGGCCATGAAACGACTGTTCTAGAACAAGAGTAACAAAAGCAATCTAATCTTCATAATTTAGCAGTTTATAGTCACTAACATTAACATCCATACCAATGTAAAGCAACGTTTGGTCTGGTTAAAGTTTAATTAGATTTCTGAAAGTAATACTGAGAAATAATAATTTTCTTAATTGATAAGTGGAGTTATAAATCATAATTCAAGATCAATAATACAGTTAAGGTTATTTGAAACTGATGTTCGTTATATGTCTTTATCCGGTTTAGAATATGTTCATCCTTGTTTATTGTTAATATAGTATAACTACACCTCCTGCGTTGTTTAGCGAAATAAATCATATAGTTACGGATGTATCTCCGTCTGTCCGTGTATTTAGTTACAACAATCAATCTTGAATCTGAGCCGTATTCACATAAGGATGTTTTAAATTTAGCACAATTCCAAATGAATGAAGTAGGTAAAAAATTTTCTATAAACAGTAAAACATTTCATATGTTGCTTTACAATAATGTTTTCTTGAAATATTTTTACATTTTGTCATATTACAAATTTCCAATGAGTTTTTCTACATTGATTCCTCAGCCTCATAGCTTAGGCCAAGCCGGATTGGGTTAAACAACCGTTTAATTGGATGTGAATTCCCTCGATAAATAATTAGTCTCGTCAGACAACCGAAGAGATACGGTCTGTACGTGCTGAACGATTGTAAACCCTATGCTTAAATCATAACTTACATGATATAAACATCCTTTTATCCGTTAATTAAACAAATATGTTATTTAAGTGGGGGAAAATGATACAAGTAGTAGAACAGCTTTTAATAATGAGGGTTAACATTTTAAACAACTATATCAGTTTAAACGTAATTAAATATGTAGATATTCAAAAGGATAGTGTTGAAATATAAATATAATATTGCTATAAAGAAGATAATGTGAGATAAATGAATTAGATCAATAATAAATTAGTTGTACAAAACATCCTTTAGTACTGTAAAATGTAAAATCTGGACATTCAATCTTTAGTTATATCAAACGATAATTTAGAAAATATGGTATTATTTGTGACCTTTTCTGGCTACATCCCATTTATTAAGTAAACACAAACAACCCAGAGTAATTTAGAGGCTTAACTACAAACAAATTACTCAAGTGGAGCAAGATAAATTAACCGTGCATGTTTAGTACATAAAACTGCCGTTAAGGGAAACGAAACCGTTTCATCCTCTTATTGCAATGTGAAATTAAAGTTCATATTATACATGTTAAAAGGATGTGATCAAATCGTCAAATATTTCAAACTTTTAAATCCATAAAATAGATTAATAAAGCTGTGCCAATTTTTCATCATAGATTTAAACGTTTAAAAATTTAGTTTTGAAATAATAATTAGCTTCAATTCTTAAATTTAAGAAATTGGATTTGAAATGATTAAAGTTGTTGAATAAAATAATAACTTTTTTCTAAACATTTGCCGAAATAAATATTGGTAAAACTTATAACAGATGGTATATTTTGATTGTATCAGTATTTTCAAAGATGTCCAAACTTCCTTTTTACTATCAAAGTTGGTGCCTACAAATGGCAACATTATGAAGATCTTAACTACTTCGCGGCTTACTTCCCAAACTTCTTTGCAGACTTTGTCTTTATGATGCTATTTGGTTCGTATATTTTTAGTTATTTTTCGATGTTTTTGTGATTGTTTTTTTTTTTATTCTTCCAAAAGCCTATAAACCAAATTTCAATACAGTATTAAAAATAACGAATTAGGAAAATAAACATTGAAGGTTAGGACTAAATACAGTTAAAGATAGCAAATTAAACAGTACACTTAGGACCGCTTTCCCCAAATCTAGTTTAACTTTGATTGTGGTTTAAACTTAAGTTTAACCTCAGATTCACTTTCCCCAAAATAATTTGTCAATTTATGCTGGGGGAGGCTGGGTTAAGTGGCGATCTATGGGTTGAACCAGGAGATAATCCTAGCGATGGACTTGAAATAGTCAAAAGGAATTCACGCTTTTAGATTTATATATGCCTAAAATACGGGGGGAAAATAGTAGTATGCTGTTTTCAAATACTGATTCAATATAGCAATTTGCTACTATTCATCTTTATCTTATTTTATGTCATTTATCTTTCTTGTTGATAAAGTAATAACTGTATTAATTTATAATAACTGTAAATTATATTGATATTGTAAGTACTTTGGTAATAATTTAGTAAAGAGAAAATTTGTTCCCCTCCAT